CTTATCATTTACACTGTCTGGATTCTGCAGTTCCCATGCTTATTACCTCTTTAGACTCCAGTTTGCACTGCCAAAGACCAAACATCTTCTGCTTAAAGATGAAATACAGAAAAAAAGCATGATCATAACTCGATCCATGGTAAATCTTGAAGAGCTTGGATGGCAGAGGTAGGTGTGAACAATACTGCTAGCAGCCTCCAATTTCTTTATTTTCTGTTTTTACTTCCCCCACACCCACACTTTTTGCAAGACATTTTAAAATATGTGACATTAGTAAGAACAAAGCTGCAATCTTATTAACTTTCTTGTGCTAATAAGCTTTGTCATCAGGGTTTTTTTTCTTAAATCAGAAAAATCTATTTTATCAGCAGTAGCAGAAAAATGCTGTGTTGTTGACTAAGGCATGACTATTAACAAGCAGAGTATTTCTTCTACAGAATATTCTTGCAGATATCAGCAAGTGTGATGTATTCCCTTACACTGAGTACCTTTCTGATATTCAGAATAAGAGCAAAAAGAATCACTGCAGCTGTGTTCAGACTAGATTCAAAATAGCCAATGGAAAAAGCAGAGAATCAGTTGCATAAATAGCAAATTATGGCATTGTTTGGTGCTCTCATGATGTTCTATTTGAGGGAATACAGCATGCCATTTGAAAATGAACATTTTGTTACTTTTTCTGGTTATTTCTGGGTTTGTAGAGTTCCTTACTGTTGTGCAAAACGCTTGGCTTCTTTTACCATTGAATGTGTTCAGGATACAAAAAGAATTAAATGCCTTATTATTTGCATGCTTAAGCTATAGAAACTTCTACCGCTTCAGGGGCACCATCAGCGACATAAAAGGACAAAGATGTCTGAAAGCAGATTGCTTTCAGGTATTTATTCTTGCAAGTTTATGTTGCAGTACCATCTAGAAAGGCTCTGCAGGAGGGCATCTCATCAGAGAATAATTACTCCTCACTCCAAAACAGCTTTGGGTGAGAGAGCTGGACTTAATTGCAAACTGAAAAGGAAACCTACACGCTATGCACTTAGGCACCACTTTGCACTTTGCAATCATCCAGTGTTGATATCCAGCAGCAAGGAGATCTCTGCTCTTTCCTCTCTCACTAACCTTCTGCTCCTGAAAGCATCAAATAGGTTCAACCAGAGCTAAACAAAAGCAAAGCAAGTTGTCTCTTCCAGACATGATACCCAGCAACACAAACAGTCCTCAAAATATCCCAGACCATTGATTAACTACCAGGGTAATCTGATCTTTCAAACTTTACTACCAGATTATGTCATTATCTCCCTCCCCTCACCTTTTGACCCCTTACTTCCCAAGGTTAAATATTTATTTATGGTTTCAAACTCATTTTGATAGCCAAAATCTAGCCTATACCTCTGACATCAAACATATTTAGCTGACTATATGCACAGAGTGTGCATGTGGCTGACTTAAGAAGGTTCTTGGGTATGAAGTTAGCTTGGGAACACTATATACCCTGCTGACTACCAAAAACAATTTCCAAGGCGTGAGGTGCAGGGGTTGGGGTGTGTGGAGAGTGGGGAGGGAAGGCTTTAAAAAGCTGCCTGCCCCTGTGATTTTCAGCTCTTTGAAAAAGCAAGAAAGAACAGAAAAGCATCCCTGGTGTGTGGTTAAGATAACTACAAAGGAACTATTCTTACCAGGTTCCTTCAGTAAAATGAAGGGTGCTTTGATTGCATTTTTGGCCTTGCTAATCTGACAGATACTGATGGATAATTTGGAACAGCCAAAATCTTTGTTCTAAAAACATTGACTCACATATGCTACATCCAGATGTTTTACTGGATTCTTAACAGATATCAAAGCTTTCTTTAAATACTTGGAAACTGCATTTTATGTAGTTAAGCGTGCATGTATGCAGGGGAAGCAAAAGATACGAGGAGCTCCATTAAGAGCAGCTCATGGAGGAGTATTTATGCCCTCCAACAGGAGCACTCTAAATAGAAAAACCCAACACTTTGTTTCTGCCTAATCAAGTTTGAAAATTAATAGCACCAAGACTCTTAATGAGCAATTAGGGCTTTGCAGGCTGGGCTCTCCAACAGGTAGAGGAGCCTTTGTGCAAACACTGCAGTGCTGACTTCCCACCACTCCATCTCACAGCCAGATCAGCAGCAGGCCAGTCTGCTGGAACCAGCCAGCTGCCACCTGGTTGCCCAGGCAGAGACATGCCCATGACTTCTGGCAGCTGGCCCTTCAGCTCTTCCAGAGGTAAGGGCTCCAGTGTCCCCCCTCCACTAAGACTAAGGAAAGGAAGAAATCTTTTGTCTGAGAGCATGTGGGGGAGGCACCCCCAACCCATAAGCAGTCTGAGTAGGAGGCTATGACTGAAAGCAAGCCATGCACACACTGGGGCTCTCAGCAGCACTCTTCTCCCCCGACAGGGCCCAAACCACTGCCACTGGAGAGCCGCAGAACAGGCACGGGACTGTGAAAAAATATTCTGAAAAGAGAGAGACGACTGCTTGTGGGAAATTAAGACATGCAGATAAATCCCAGAAGAGCACGAATAGAGGCAGCAGGTTGCAGCAGGGGGGCTGGGAAATGAAGTGCTGTGCAATTCACAGAATTTGAGTCATTCGAAACTGTTGCCCCAGTCTGATTCTCCACAGCTCCTGGTGGATGAAATTTTGCACACTGGCTATTTTGCCCTGCAGTCACTGCTGGATAGACTCAGTACTGAGGGTTATTTATCCCTCCATACTGAGTGAACAGGTGATCAGTACATACACAATTTCACCCCAAGAGGAGCAATATTCTTCCATTGGGTAAGCTTTTTAGTAGAGAAGCCTCCTAGTAGAAAACAAAAATCCAGACAAATTGCAATGCACACAGAATGTGACAAATACTAAGCACAGACTTCCTGATCTGATCGGTTCTGATTCTGATCTGATTTTCAGTATCTGCTGCTGAAGTGCTGCTTTTGCTTCCCCAGCATGCCAGTGGAATGAAGTAAGTCACAGAAGCAAGTATTAGATATTGCAACAGAGAAAAGGATCTCCTGGGCAAGTAGGATCAGGCCGTTCCTCTGTGCCTGTTTGCAATAGCATGGGGTTTGTCAAACATTAAGGTGAGGAAAGTCAGGTTTAGACAGTTCACTGGTGAGAAAGCAACTCAGCCAAAATGCTGGCTGCTTTTCTAGTTTAGACCAGTGTAGTCTGCAAACAACAAAGAAGCATTAGCATCAGTAGTGGCAGCCTTACCCTGGCTGGTAGCAGCCCAAAGCATGTCTAGTTGTTAGTTAACAATCAGGGTTAAATGGAGTCCCAGCATCACTTTCAGCACACAGGCAGCCACAGGAACATGGTAGCTGAGATCTCCACACACAAGAGTCCATACTGCAACTTCAATTCAATTCCCCTTTCAAACTCAGAGATGTTTTCCATGTTACATAGAACATAATCACGCAGTTTCATGGGACTTGTTTCCTCCACTGCTTTTGGAATGCAAATACAGCAGCACAAGCCTCCTTCCCACACCACGGATTCCCATCCCTCAGAAGTTTCAAGCTATGCCAAAGGAGAGTATCAGTCTACCTTCGGTACCCACTGGCAGCAGCCACACAGAGCAAAGCAGCCTTTCCTCCTGAGACTGGGCTCACACAGGTGGGAACACAAGTTCCAGGAGCATTTTCACTAACCATGTGAAGCCCAGCACAGGAACAGAGAACCCTTTGGGCTGCTTAGGCAGCAGAGCTGAAGTTCTCTGGAGCTCTTCAGAGAAGTTTCAGTCTTTTATGTAAAGGCAAAGACAACAGCTGTGCTTGCAAAGATGGATTCTGAAAAAAAAGGAACTACTAGAAAAAATGTACTCATTAAAAGACCTTTATTTTGGTTGCATGGTTAAAATTCTGAAGCCCATTTATGCTTACAGTTACATTGTTCCTAGACATTATTTCATAGCTGACCATGTAAACAGTGTGTTCTCCATCAGCCTAGTGTACGAGATAAATACAGATTAAGTGACTTTCGTCTGTACACTCTTCATATTAGTTCATCAAGATCAATTAAAAAGGTAAATAGATTAATTGGCAAAAAGGTGTTGTTGCATTTTTAATATATTAGTACAAAATGGCACAAAAAGAAAAAAGGCAATTTTAAAGGCTATAAGCATCAAGCGCCTTAAACAGTTTGAATCAGTTCAACCGATTTCAACCCAATTTCAAATACCACTGTTGAACTTAAAATTGAACTTGTAATCTTCGCTTTAGCTGTATGAAAGACCTCACATACAACTTTGGATCTGTTCATGGAAACTGAACAGCAGCTCCAGAACAGTGACATTCAAGTGCAGTCAGGAGGTTAGGAATTTATCTTCTTCCCAGGAAATCTAAGAATTCACAGACTAGAGCTTATTTTCATCTAGCCAAGCTCACTGATGCACACTGCAGGTACACAGAGACCAGACGTGTGCACCTAAAACACAGTATTTCTTAATGCAAGAATGGAAACAAAACATCCACATAGTTACACCATCCACCCTACCTACCTTTGGAGGCGGCTTCCAGGTATGACCATACTCAGCGTCAGACACAGAGATACATAATGCATCTACAAGATTTCAGCCAAACTGGAGGCTTGGTCAAAGGCTTCAGTTATAAAAAAGATCACACCAACTTCAGCAACTGACATTTTATTTTTGAACTACCCATATCAAACGGGCAGGTGAGTGGGATGGAAGGGAAAGACATACAAAGACATTTCTAACTTAAAAATAAATTCTGAGATGTGAATTTGTTGCCTCAAGCAACAATTCAAGAGTTCATTTTGGCAGCAACATTTAGCAATATCCCAAAAGATAACTACCCACCCCATCAAAAAAATTTATCAGGATTTTGATCAGCCCTCTAAACCTTAGAGGTTTTTATGTTTAAGTTAATTGAACAGTTTATGACCTGTTTTTTTCTGACAAGTACTCACATCCAAGAAGGCAGGCAATTACACTGACAGTAATACTGAGAATGTTACTTCTCAAGTTAAAATAAAAAGCTTTATAAAAAAGTAAGTGTGATGAAGTACAGAACCAGTTTTACTCAGCTTCACAATGAGAAAACCATGATTAGGAATTTCCTTTCATAATTTAAAATACCAATTACAACACCTTCTCCTGAGACTTATCTTGACGATAACCATATGATGAGTGCAAGAAGCAATGCTCCAACAACAAGTACAATAATGAGGATGCAGATCTTCTTTCGAGACTTTTGCTGCCAACAGAAGGGGAAAAAAAAACCCAGAATGAAAATTGCACCACCACATCAATAGACTACTTGTACACTTTTATGGTCCTACTGCTTGTGCAATCTAACTAAATTGTGTCCTTACAAACAACTCATCTGAAGTTGTTCAAGGGAAAAAAAAGAGCTAAGTTATGCACAACTTACTTTTCTGGCTATGTTATTCAACAGAATTAAGTCAGGGGTATTTTCTGACACACAAACTAATGAAAGAGAATGCAGTAACATAATGAATGGATGCAATCAGAACACTGAGGGAGAGAAAACCCGAGTGAGCAGGTGATCACAGAGACGAAAATGAAAAATAAATATGCACAGTAAAAGAGGTAGGGATTGTCATCTAGAAAAAAATATTTAATGACTATTGATGCATATACAAAGGGGACAACAGACTGCAGTTTCAGGCTTCTGAAAGAATGACTTTGTATCTATTCACAGAGAGATTTTGAAGTTGTTTTTGACAAGTTTCCTAGGTACAACTTGCTCTTAAGGAAAAAAAAAAAAAAAGGAAAAGAAAAGAAAGAGACCCAAGTAGAGACCAGGTATACACATGTTACTATAATAAAGTGTAAGTTATGAGCATGTCCAGAACTTTCACATCCCATACAAGGTTGTCACTTGAGATACCAGAGCACCCAAGACTAGCAACATTCTGTCAGTCATCCTTTATCTGAAGGATATGGAATCCAAAGGTTTCCGTCACAGCAGGAAAGGAAATTAATTACCAGTGGGTTTCACAGGCTTTTGCCAATAGCCAAGAACACTCAAACCTCAGAATTCGAGGCCACAGCTCCAGAAACAAAGCTAGGCTTTGCTCTATTTGACAGAAGTTCTTCGGCTTGTGTGGGGTCTTTTTTAATAGTTTTGTGTTTGTGGAGTTATTTTTCCTTTTGAAGAACTACATCCGTGTCAAATATTCATTGGCACTGCCAATTCTCTGCCCAGTACCACCAAGTTTCTTAACTTTTCTACTACTTTTACTATCTTCCTGCCACTTTTCCCACTGTCAGGCTAAGATTTCTTCATTTCAGCATTTTACTTGCTAGAATTCAATCCATTTGCTAGAGTACCTGCCTTTCTTAAAAAATTTGTGGCCAGTTCTCTTCCTGCACTCCAAATCTCTTCCTTTTTCATCCTAGAGACCACCTCTTGCCAACACTGCATTGAAGTCAAACATTTCCCCCTGTAACAACACTACTTAAGCAAGGGGCTAAAGACATGGCAATCTTATTTCCTCAGGCACTTGATCATTTCTACAGGTGCTGAATCAGCAGTGGTAACTGGGGAAAGGAAGGAAAGGAGCCTGGCTTTCCCCAAACAGCTCTGCTGTGTGAATGCACCCCACATGGCAGACGAGCAGTGCATGCCTTGTCCAACCACAAGCAGGAGTTTTGAGGGTACCAGCCACGTGCAGCTTTGACTGCACCAGCATGCCTCAGCCTCCAACACTTCCTTATGGGAGTCAGGCTATACAGATTTAATAGTTGCCAAAATTAAAATATGTCTTCTGGATAGCCAGGCCCAAAGAGTGGTGGTGAAGGGAGCTAAAACCAGTCAGCAGCCAGACACAAGTGGTGTTCCCCAGGGCTCAGTTCTCCTTAATATCTTTATCAGTTATCTGGACAATCTGGCTCAAGTGTACCCTCAGTAAGTTTGGGGAGCTAAAACCAGTCAGCAGCCAGACACAAGTGGTGTTCCCCAGGGCTCAGTTCTCCTTAATATCTTTATCAGTTATCTGGACAATCTGGCTCAAGTGTACCCTCAGTAAGTTTGCAGATGACACCGAGGTGGGTGGATGTGTTGATGTGCTTGGATGTAGGAAGGCTCTACATTCCCAGGATCAGGACAGGCTGGATTGATAGGCAGAGGCCAACTGTATGAACTTCAACAAGGCCAAGTGCCTGTTCCTGCACCTGGGCCACAACAACCCCAGACAATGCTACAGGCTTGGGGAAGAGTGGCTGGTGAGCTGGCTGGCAGAAAAAGACCTTCAGAGGGCTGGTCAACAGCTGGCTGAGTATGAGCCAGCAGTGTGCCCAGGTGGCCAAGAAAGCTAACAACAGCCTGGCTTGGATCAGAAGGTGTGGCCAGCAGGACTAGGGAAGCAATTGTTCCCCTCGGCACCGGTGAGGCCACACTTCAAACAGCGTATTCAGTTTTGGACCCCTCACTAAAAGACAGACACTGGGGTTCTGAAGCAGGTCCAAACAAGCGCAACAAAGCTGGTGAAGGGTCTAGAGCACAAGTCTTAGGAGGAGTGGCTGAGGGACCTGGCGTTGTTTAGCTAGGAGAAAAGGTGGCTCAGGGGAGACCTTCTCACTCTCTACAGCTACTTGAAAGGAGGCTGTAGTGAGGTGGGAGTTGGTCTCTTCTCACAAGTAACAAGTGATAGGAGAAGAGGAAATGGCCTCAGGTTGTACCAGGGGATGTTTAGATTGGATATTAGGAAAAGTTTCTTCACAGAAAGGGTTGTCAAGCACTGGAACAGTCTACCCAGGAAAGTGATGGAGTCATCATCCCTGGAGGTATTTAAAAGACCTGGAGATGTGGTGTTCAGCAACATGGTTTAGGGGTGATGTGGCAGTGCTGGGTTAACGTCTGGACCTGATGATCTCAAAGGTCTCTTCCAAGGAGAAGGATTCAATGATTCTATACTTCATGTCCAAAGTAGTGCCACTGAGAATACAGTTCAAGGATGCATGCACCCGTTTCCCTCCCTGCCTTCTGAAATCAGCAGACAATCCTTCAGACATTTTTTCATTGACTTACTGTCCTGTCTAATACTAACACACGTAAGAGGATTTAAAAAAAAAAAGTCTAAGGACTAACTCTGACTTAGGAGGAAAGATTTATTACGAATAAGATTAATTCTAATAAGTTTCAAAAATGTTATGAAGAAGTGGCATTTAAAGGTATTTAAATGGCTTTTCAAAAAAGTTTGCGAGTTTAAAATACATTTTTAGCATCAGGGCAGCAATTAATAGAAGCTGGATATATACAGCTTTGTGAATATTTTAGACAGCAAAAATTGGTGCTAACTGGCAGCATCTTCAGAAGACTTCTCTGCCTATCTTACTTACTTCCTCCAGTGATTTTTAGAGGTTTACCTTCCATATACTGGAATCTTTACTTCTAGAGCACAAGTCTTATGAGGAGTGGCTGAGGGAAATGGGGTTCTTTAGGCTGGAGAAAAGGGAGGTTCAGATGAGATTTTATTGCTCCCTACAGCTACCTGAAGGGAGGAAATGGCCTCAAGGGAGGTTTGGGTTGGAGATTAGGAAACGTTTCTTCACAAAAAGGCTTGTTAAGTCCTTGAACAGGCTGCCCAGGGAAGCTGTTAAACTACCATCCCTGGATGTGTTTAAAAGTCATGCAGATATGGTGCTTAGGGACGTGGTTCAGGAGTGAACTTGTTAGAGTTAGGTTAACGGTTGCACTTGATGATCTTAAATCTTTTCCAACCTAAACAATTCTGTGATTCTATGAAAAGGGGTTGGGGGGGTTGAGTTTATTTATTTAAAATAGAGGTATAATTGCAGGTGCTCTAAACCAGCCTGGCTAAGCCTAAAGCTTCCAGAGGTCACTGACTTCTGTTTTATAGTGACCTAGAAATACCATCGTAGTCTTACATAAACCTTTAAGTAAGTCTCCAAGCCTTGAACTGCCTAAGAAAGCAGAAGTCAGGACTACTGAGAAAGGACACTCACACAACTGCCAATGCAGTTGACACTGACTTTACCTGGTAGTTTGCTGCTCTTGACAGCTGCTGATTTGCTTGTTGCACATGTACCTCTGCATTTTCCACATTGGCTTCTATGCTGTCTTTATTTTAAAAGGAAAATTTCAAATTTTGGTTAGTAACAATCCAGTGAAATACACATGAGAGCATATATGATAGCTGCCCCCCAGCTGCTGGTGTCTTCACCAGTACTCAAAGTTTTATACTTCACACTATGGAAGTTTGGAACTTCCTGTACTTATGCCTGACGTTCATTTCAAAGCTGCCCAGGCAATGAGTGGCTCAGTTAATGTCAGTAACAGGTCCCCTGTTCATGCAGAGATGAAAGGCTGAACCTTTGATACCAACTGAGGTAGAAACTTCCAGTATTTATCTATTTTTTTTAAAAAACTTTTACTTGTCCTCCAACTCACTACTGACTACTCTCTGCTCAGAAAAAAAAAAAAGTCTTAAGGCCTACAAAATCAGAGGAAATAGATACACAAAACACATGCCCCAGGTGGCATGACTCTAGTTTGGTATTCTATCAAACTGACACCAACTTTTTTTTTTCCCCCTCCCTGGAAACAAAACAGATTAAGGACCAAGTTGATAGAAAAAGTCCTGAAAAATATATGCTGGACATAGACAACAGCATGGCTTAGCAGCAGAGTCAGAAAATGTATTTTTCAATCACATTTTTTTTTAAAATATAAACCTGTCTGCAAGGACGGCAAAGCAGGAACCTTTGCTGACCCTGCATGTTTTTATCTTTAGGCAATACCGTAAAACTCCCCACATGAACTCAAATTTTATGTACAAACAGTTCAAAAAACTACTTTTAAAGACATTTTTTTTACATACGGAAAACTACAGAATGTTTTAAACTGTGTTTTTAAACACACTTTCATAATGTATTTCCAGTTACTTCAGCCAGGCTATCCATTATTAGGTTATACCTGATTTGCTTTATTACTGATATTCTCATTAGAAGAATTTTTCCAGCAAAATTAAGTTCTACATTGCTGCTCTGCAGAGAAATAGGATAAAAATTTTTGAGAGCATCTTTGAATTAGACTTACCTATCACATCACCTTGTTCATGAATCATCATTCCTAGATCTTTAAAAATTTCATTGATGTCCATAATGTCTGCCTGTAAGAAAAAAATTATCACATTAATTGACATAATATATTCTTGTATAACTGTACATTTAAATAGAAATATTGCCCATTCTTCTCCTGAGTATGCATCCATGATTCTTTACACTACAGGATAAAAAAACCCAACACCTTAATATGTTTATTTGGAAGGCTTTTTTGGTACAGTGAGACCAAGTCTGTCATAAACTAACTGAATACGAAGTATAATTCACATCACATCACAAACAGGATCTCTCATTGATGAGGGCTTGTCTACACACATCTTTATTAGTTTAACTGAAGGGAAAGGCTCATGCCAGCTTTGTTTAAAAACTGTCCATTTAAGCCAAATTAATAAAAGCATGTGCAGAAAATTTTGCATTAGTTTTAGTACACCTATGAAATTAAACACAAATTTCATAAGCACCACAGTTTACAGAAATTACCTCTATAATATGGTCAGGTTGTTGCATCTATATTACATTACCTTAATTACCTTCTGGTTATGATGAAACATTAGATGCCATGTTACCAGTGTACATATGATCTCTTCTTAACTAATGACTGATACACATTTAGTTCAATTCACTCTAAATTAAAGTATGGGTGGTAAGGGAGATTATTGAAAGCAATTATGCATAGCATGGATTTTGCCACATGCATCAGCAAGACTTCCTGACAAACTCCAGTTCCAGCATCTTTCCTGTTAAGTGTAGAAATGTGGATTCTAGACTGTCCGGAAAAATTAATTTTGTCTTCACAGAAGTTTCTTGATGTAAGCATTTCATCACATGATGCAATTCTTTGTGTAGTTTACATCTTGATTTTAAATGTCCTTAACTTTTTTACAATTTGTTACAAAAGTTTGAGTGAAACATAGTATCTCTGTATTTTCAAAAGTGTTCAAAAAAAGCCACTTAGAAAATGAAGATGTTGAACAATATGTTGGGAATACTTGGGAGGAAAGGTATAATTTTGCTTCATTTATAATCACTTTTAAAAAGAAGCTACAATATGACCACTATGTTGGAAAAAAATTGTATGTATTTTCTCTTGCAATCACTTGAACTCTTATTCCCTAACTGAACTGCTGAAGTTAAACACTGTGTCAAACACGGCTTTCATACAGCAGATTTCTAATGCACATTTCACATGGAAAGGCAATATTTGTAGTTTTGAAGGAAAAAAACACACCCACAAACTCCTCAAGATTAATGTCTGCAATTAATGCTCATGCCACTATAAAATTTTTTTTCTTTGGAAACATTAAAAGCACATTCTGCTGCAAAACCACTCATACTTACCTCCAGCTGCCTAATGGAAGATTCCCTCTCCTCGATAAGACGAAGGTCATCTTCTGTAATTTCTTCATCTTGCACTTGTGCTTGTGGTTGACTATCAAACGAACAAAAAAAACCCCACTCATAACTGAACAGGCAACATGAGAAATAACTCAGAAGAATAAATTACACAGCACACACTTTATTGGTTTACAAAATGCATGTGTTACCCTTGCCTGCCTAGATGACAGGGGAGGTGTAACAGTCTCACCTTTGTTACAGGACGCTGCTGCTGCAGCAAGGTTGCACACAGCATTGAGCTACCCAACTGGAAATTTAAAGTATGAATACAAGGGTGAAGCTGCTTCCAAGTTACACTGCAGAGTAAGTATCCGATGCAGAAGCAAGCTACCCAACAAAACAGATGGTGAGACTGAGAAGCAATTCTTGGAGAGCACAAAAGCAATGAGAGATTCCAGCAAATGCTGGACCCTTATCACAACTTAAAAGTTTTACTCAACTCACAGGTTGGGTTCTGCATACATAATTTTGGGTCTCAGAAAGCCCAAAATACAGACTTCGGACAGCTTAAAGAGACAACTAAATCTGAAGCATGCAAGAAAAAGAGGGAGGTGATATGAACTACTCCTTTTTCTTCACACCTGTCCCACCAAAGCCCCTTCTTGACACTTGCCTTATGGAAGAAAGCCTAAATGAACAACCTATTCCAACTCCTTCCAGAATAAGGCAATCAGTTGGGAAAAAAGAACCCAAACCAAACCAACAAATAAATCATCACCTGGCTTCCCTGCAGGCTATTTTATTATTCTGAGCTAGGTTAAGACTTATTAACAAATTCAACCTACCTGTCCCAAGACACAAGTGTTCCTTCTTTGTAGCTATCTTCAGGAGCACCACCCTACATGATCAGTGTTTAAAAATATAAATAAAACATTATGGCCTTGAAAGGAGCACTGTCAGCATGTCTATAATTAGTCAATATTACAAGGTTTATGGTAAGTCAACTTCAAACCGAAACATGATTTAACACGTTTTCATCCCCATTTTGCTTTATGCATGCATATACAGCTGAAATACAAGCAAAAACATTCAGCTCAGTAACTGCCCGCTAAAATTTACAAGTAGAGCAACATGTATCTGGCACAGAGTGAAAAGGCAAAATTGGTACACTGACAAGGAGAAGCTGAACATCTCCAGGTCCTTAGCGCTTCTCCACTTAAACACTGCATAGAAATCTGGCAAGTGATTCTCCCTTGTAGGGAAATACCTGAAGGTGCAGCAAAAGCATTTAAAAATCCATTAAAAACTGCTTTTGCAGAATTAAACCACGAACCCAGGGGTAGTTCATGCCTTTGTGTGACAAAGGCAAGTATAAAGAAACAGTTCTCAGGGCAGGGGGAGGGTACTGCAATTTAATTCAGCCTTTATTATAAAATCATATAGCACATGTTCTGCAGTATTTGGAGTCAGATACGAGCTTTTGTAAGAAGCAATGTGGAGGCAAGTTTGACATCAAACACCATTAATACCTTTGTAAACACAGTAGAAGAGTGTAAATGTGTAAACACATTTTACGATACTTACAGATACCCTTGAGCTGGCTCTTACTCTGGCTACAAAGTCTTTTTCCTTCTCAGCAGCTTGCCTTTGGAGTCTTTGGAAATTTGTTAGTGCTGTGGTGAACTCCCCCACAAGACGATCCTTCTGTATTTTTCTTTGACGCTACAGGAGAGAGTTTTACCAAGTCAAAGGAGCTCAGGCTTTTCAAGGCTCTGCCATTTCCAGACTGCTCAGTGCTAAGGCATGTGGTTTTGGTTTTGTTGTTTTTTTTTTTTTTTTTTTTTTCTGAATAGGTGTAGGGGGTGGCTGTCTACAAAAACATTTGCAACTGCATGGCCAAACCTTCCTTCCCTCTGGGAACACAACTCTGCACAATTTAAGGCATTTAAAGAGGAAACCAGGGTATTTAATTTCATTTAACAGCTGGAAATGAGAAATGGGCAGAGATAAGAAAGCTTTCTATTTTCTTTTTTTCTATTTTCTAAAATAAAAATGATTTTATTTTAATATCTGTTGATTATAAAACCTACTGTTTAAGTGTGAGATATTTTGATACCACAGATTCTAAAATATGCAAAGGTGACTGAATGGGAAGAAAGGGTGCAGAAAAAGAACAGAGCATTTCACATGTATTTTACATAAATGATGGAAATATGTATTTGATGATTTGCATACAGAAGTGGGTTCACATCCCTGCTTAAGAAATTATACAAAAATACCTGTTCTAATCTTTCAGGTTTGTTTAAGATGTAGAGGAAGGAATGAGAAGACTAAGCACTCAGAAAATCCTCCACCACATTTCCTTAAATGTATACAATGTATTAACTTTTCCTTCCAAATTTCTGACAGGCTATAACTTGTCATTTATCAATCTGTTATTTATGCACTTCACTGGGAAGTAGCTTTAATGAAGAGACTCATCATAAAAGGAGTGAAATCAAACAGTAAAATGTCTCATCACCAACTTTTCAGCTCCAAGATAAACAGAGAATCCATTAAGAAAACCCAACAAAACCCAAACCAACCCAAACATACTTTGCCAGAACTACAAGTTACATACGAAGAACAAGTTTTAACACCTCTGTTATAAATTTACCACTTGACAGGATGAACACATTTAGTTCATGGTCTGCCATTTGAATTCAGTGTTTCAAGAAAACTCAGTTTCCTAAAGACTCCTGGGTAATCAGCCACAGATCAGGCAAGTTGTTTGAGTGACAATAATCTGAATCCATGTTTTCTGGGATTCTGGTGTTCTTCTCTTATTTAAGTGACAGATTTCACTAAGATAAGAAACCACAGGATAGTAGACAGGAGTGTGCTAATGACAACAGCCACTTTACATGTTGGCTCCTGATAGTATTTTACATAGATCTGGGAAAGAAATAGATCACACAAGTTGTTTTAGCAACAGCTCCTGACCACTCCTCTTAAGAAAGGAGAAGCCTGTGGACAAGACATAGGACATATGCAGATCTGAGAGATGTAGAGCAGTCCTACTGTGCATACTAAATTTATTTGGGACACTGGGTGACCAGGTCTGGCCACATGCCCTACAAGAGGTTCTGGCACACAAGTCCTTGACCCTGGAAGCAGTCAGAGTCCCCGCCGAGTTAGATTTAGGATTGCTGCAACCGATCACAAAGTGATCAGCTACCTGAAGTCACAGGCACTGTGCACTGCCTTGACTCCTACCACTGCAGTCAAACTGCCTCATCCCCAATACACAAAAACAACTTTGGAACAAGTCTGAACTGCAACAAACTGTTCTTACATTGTAAATGTCCCTGTTATGAAAATGGGTAGACTACCTAAACAGTGCCTTGAAAACTCAATGAGGAGCACAAAAATAGGCATGCAGAACCAAAGTCACCAACTGCTCTACATGAGCCAACATGACAGTCAAACAATCCATGCTTCTTGGTTTTATACCTGTTCACTTGTTGCAGGCAAAGATCCAAACTCTTTAATGTATTTGTCGGTTTCTTTGGCGAGCTGGTTGGTGTATTGCTGCTTCTGTTGCCTAAAACAAAATGCGAAGTTTCATTAGAGACCACTGAGTTACGTTCTTTGTTCTCAGAAAAGCAGCAGTACTAAATGCTTCACTGAAGTGCACAAAGCCATCTTTATTCTTCACACTAGTGTGGCATTATGGATACTGGGCGGGACAGATGCTGAAGAAGGTGTGTTCCCCAGTATAACAGAATCATTGCTTACCTCCACCCCTCATTTTCCTAATATGCAGCATTAAGTTTTTAGTGATTACAGATCTCTAAACATGCTTTTCATAGCCCTTTTGAGGCTATCAATAGTTGGAAACAACTGGTCACTTTCAAGCTCAGAATAACTGTAGAAAGGACCAAGTTTCTTCTGTGTGGAAGAACATATTGTGGCTTAGATATTATTCAGATACCACAGCCCATGAAGAGTCAATTCCTGACAGTTACTGGGAAGCTTAGCCAAAGATATCTATCTATATTCTCCCATGATACCATAGCTTTGCACTTACCTGAAAATGTCATTATTTACACTTATTTATCTTTAACAGCATTTAAAATAATGCCTTGTCCTCAACAGCATTGCCTTTTTTGTTGTTGTTGTCTCCGTTTCAAACATTATCACACATTCCTTTACCAATCTTCTTATTTTTTTACTGGAGCAACTCAAATTCTTTACCTGCTTTTGCATCCTCCTCCCCAGTGTATATAAACAGGTTTTATCTGGAAAGCTATTAGCAAACAATCAACATCAATATTTAAAATGACCAAATAGCTCTTCAGACATGTATCAACAGGAAAAGAAAGGCCAAATGTTCAGTCAAATAAAAAAGGGGCAGATGAAAAGTCAAGGAAGCTTACCATATAGATCACCTCCGTAAAGGGACTGCAACTTGTCCTTCACAACAGTTTCTATCCTGTTTAGTTGTGAATCTATGCCTAGATCCTGCCTGGCATCAATCATCGCCCAGTCACAGTCTCCAGTAGGATATCCACTGTGGATTGTATCTGGCTATTGTCACAGGCCCTGAACTCAAGCTGTTATAAAGAAATTTGGCTGTTCACTCAAAATGAATGGGATGCCTTTGGTCCAATACACACCTCCTCCTACTATTCAAAGCCACAGTGGGGCATTAACCACACTGAAGACTGCCAATTTTCTCACCCCCAGGGTTAGCACATCATGTGTATTTATGATGCTGAGATTAATGTGGTGAAGAAGTTTAACAGAAAAAAATCACAATGGTTCACTAGATGGTGCAGAGCAGTGGAGAGCAGCTGACTCTCTCTGCTAGTGGTGGATCAGTGAAAGCCCACCTTCAGGTGACTGAACCAATAGCACAGCATCTGCCTTGGAGCCTCATTTCACTTCTACTTATTTAAGTATTTCTGTAACATTTTTTTAATATAATGTCATCCCTTTTTTCTAGCTTTTGTCACTAAAAAGACATATCACTCCCTCCCCCAGTATCACATTTCACAAAAAAAAAAAAAACACACACAACAATATATTTATTACCAGGAGTGGAGAGATGTGTGCCTTTGTTTTTTAAAGAGTGATATTGCTTTCTGGTCCAAACACTCTCCCCTTGCTGACATGCAGCATCTTACAGACACATTGATACTGCAGGCAACACACACGGGCAAAACAGCTGACTAGTTTACAGACTCTCCAAAATTAATTTTAATAAGTGCATCTCAAAAGTAAGTTTCAGGTACTTGCTTTTCTCAGTGAGATCAAACACTGTGCCACATCACCTCATTACCTACCAGGAGGCTGTTTACAATGCAGTGAAATCAAATGTTTTCAGTGAATACTCACAGTTGTTGCCTCAACTCAGGCGTGTCTTGTGGCGTTCCAAGCTGATGTAGTATTCTTTGTATTTCAGCAGCTGTTTGTGAAGAGGAAGAGAAATTTTAATGGGGCACAGAAAATTCTTGCTTTATTTTATGCGGTTTTGCTTGTCAATTCTAAAGACATGGAAGCTGACAGAAACTTGATACTCCAGATTTTTTTTCAGCCTACTACAAAGACTCCACTTAACGAGTCCCAGAACAACTAGTGAATGGTCTTTGCCAAGTCAAAGCCCTGGGTTTCCTATAAAGAATAGGAATGTATTTGTCTAGGTAGAAACAGGCTAGTTAAAGATGGTTAATAGTTTCAGTATAATAAGTATAAGCCAGGCCTTTTAATATTAATTTTTAAAATAAGCAGCACAATTCTTATTCTGGTTTAATCATATTTTACACATGTCAATTTTGGAAAGCTGTATGAAAGACTTCCATGACATTATCATACAGAAGTATTTCAGGACCAGTGCATTAATGAAGAGACAGCAGCAAAGCATTCATGAGCTTAAGGTACATTAATTAAAACCAGTCTTGAGATCCTTACATTTGGAAATGTGGCACACAAACTACTAGTGATTTTGTAGTGTATTTCATAAAATATATCAGGTTTGAACCACAAAAAGTGACATATCATCTGAGCCTTATTTTCAACGTAATATATTTTACTGTGACATAAGAAAGCATGGAAAAAATTGGACACACACTTCAAGGACATGCAGCTTATCACACTGCAAAACTAATATCCTGAATGTACTTTATCTCAGCTTAACACCCTCACATCTTCTAAAACAAAAGAATACATATACAAAACAACTTATTCTTGCTTGACCTCAGCCAGGAGTAGACTTGTCTTTCTTGTATTTCTGTGGCCCTCCTCAGGCAGACTGGTGTACCACAGTCAGTAGAAAAGATGATGGCATGACAGTATGTGGGATCCTCACTTCACTAGCATACTATCTTTTTTTCCTAAATACAGTTAAAATTGCAGTAAAAGGCATCTCTAAGTAATGAAGAAAAACATTTTCAAAAGAGAGCATTTTTCCATATACCATGGAAGAGATCTGTAACAGACAGAATTTCAGTTACAAGAAGAAAGTTACCTGTAACTCATACTAAGCAGTTAGATAAAATTGAATACCTTAGAACACTTTTAGCAATAATATTAATTCTAATCTTCATTTCACAACAAGTCTCCAGTGAATTAGATGTTGGATTTTCCACACTGCTTTATGTAATATTCTGGTGTCAACAACTGCTATAGCAAATGCCTTCTGTGCACGCCCAGTAATGAAGATATTAAAAAAAGGACAAAGTTAGTATCTATGTTTTGCATCAGGTAAATATCAAATATCAAAGACAGAAGTTGCTGGAGCACAAGCACTGACAAACACTGACTCTGGGTAACTGAGCCATCTCTTTATGTTCAGTGTAAAGCATGGTTTCAAAACAAACAAACAAACAAAAAGGTAACTGGCTGGTGTTATCTTCAACAGTGTGAAATTTTAATACCTATAAAACTGAACACAAATTATCCTTTATTTGTGCCCAGGCAAATTCTGATTCAAGACAAACAGAGCTCAGGGATTCTCTATGTACTTTTGCAGGGAGGAAAAAAAAAAAAACAACAAAAAAACCAAATCGAACTGCAGGCATTCTGTTAGCAACTTTTCTGCAGACAGAAAAGGTATCGTTGTGTCCCACTGCCACCTAGAGATGGGTTATTTAACTGCATATAAAGAAAATACAGGCTTGCTTGCATTTTAAATAAAGGCTCTCACTCGAAAAATGCTCTGAAACAAAGCCTCTACTTAAAATATTTGCATTTCAAGTTAATTAGATATTTAGCCTACATCTGAAACTGAACACAAGTAGATAACTGAGGGGAAATGAAAAGCTGGCACCACATAGCTGGTCAGCTACACAATTCCAGGCAGAGGGAAGTTCATCCCAGGTCTTGCGATTCAAGAATTCAGCACAAGATTAAGAAACATTTTGCCAAGAAGTCTGTAAATATGCATCAAAAGAGCTAAGTGCTAACAAGTTTGCAAATCTCAAGAGGATAAAATAAATTAAAGAAAACAAGGACTGAACTGACATCAATTTTTTGGGGCTTCCTGTTATTCAATATTTTCCACCTTAACCTTTCACAATAAGGATACTATTCAGAAAAAAAAATAGTTTCTCTTTTCAAATTTTTGTTATATGACATATACTAAATTGAAAAAATGAAACATTCCTTATTCAAATAAGCAGGCAGAAAAAAGGCAGAGCAATGAAAGTAAATGTTGGTTGACAGCCTTCAGCAGCACTTCTGAAGCTGTCTTAATAAAAAAGCCAAAACCAAGCTGGTAGGACCTGTATAGTACAGACAGCAGAGAAGGTGACCTTCCTGGAATCTTGATTTACAGTACATAGCTGCAGGTCGATGAGTTAAAGGAATCCATACTTTGTACTCTTTCATATTAATACAAATATGCTGGAGTGTATATAGGCAAAATATTTCTTTAGTGTCTTGTAATTCTTCTGGTTTGGCTTGGGTTTGTTTTACAGATTTCTTCCTGTGACCACTACTCATTCAGACATTTGGTATGTCCCTATGGCTGGGATACCTCTCCTGTGAAGAAAGGATGAGAGTTGGAGTTGTTCAGACTGGAAAAGGCTCCAGGGAGACCTTGTTATGACCTTTTAGTACTTAGAGGGCCTATAAGAAAGACAGGGGCAGTTTTTGAGCAGTGCCTGTTGCAAGAGGACAAGGGGTAATGGTTTTAAACTAGAAAAGAGGAGATTCAGATGAGACATAAGGAAGGAAGTTTTTACAATGAGGGTGGTGAAACGCTGGCACAGGTTGCCCAGAGAGGTAGTAGATGTCCCATCCCTGGAAACATTCCAGGTCAGGTTGGACAGGGCTCTGAGCAACCTGATCTAGTTGAAGATGTCAATGCTCACTGCAGGGGCTTGGAATAGATGACCTTTAAAGGTCCCTTCCAACTCAAAAGTATTCTATTATTCTATGATACATTACTATACATATAATCACAAAGCCACCTAAATCATATACATTTGTCCAGACTCGAACTCATACAGCTTTATTGACAAAAAAGCTTTAAGACATTACCACCTGCATCACGGAGGTAAAATGTCTTTCACCCTTACATGCACACAAAGACATCTTACAGAATTTGATTCAAAGCAAGAACTGGCTTTGAATCTTCTAAGATAAAAGTCAGCATCATTTCCTTTCCTCAAGCGATAACAGGGCAGCTGTAGCCTCTTCTCCTGAAGGTTAGACTGTAGAAACATCTCTGCTGGCTCCATTTGGGAAACAAGCAGCGGGAGGGTCTTGGCACTGAAGGGAGAAAGCAAAACTGCTGGAAAACCAGGATTGCTTTTCATAAAACAGAGGTCACTAAGTTCCTGGCTTCACTGCTGATGGTGATATTTATGAAGGTACTGCCTCCCTTGTTTAACCAGGTTTTTGCCCCTGTGCAGGGAGTTCAGGGTGGCACCCCAAGGCACCTGGCAGCTGCTCTGGTACCTCTCAATCCATCAGTAATGCTCAAGTGTCCCAGAGAACCAAAGGCTTAAGCCCAACTCAAAGTCCTAGCTCTGCATTGTAAATATACCTGTAACAGTCAGGGAGATGACACAGTTTTGATGTGTTAACTCACCCCTTGTGGTTTTCCTTTCCCTACTTCCCAATTTTTCCAAATTCCCAAGAAGCTCTGAACAGCAGGAGCAATACAGCTACCAGCAATCCATCCTGTCCTGGGCATTATCAATTCTGTCACAGAGCCTGACTGGATCTTGTGCACACCTTAATCCATTTCATTGCAAAGTCTGGCACTTCAGCTCAGGTTCCTTGAGTAAGTACAGCTAGCTGCTGGACTTTGCTCAGGAGCTGCAGAAGGGCACACACCATGTGCACAGAGGTGTTCTTCACCAAAGTCACCGGCATACGGCAACAGTCTCCACCAGAAGTGCACAAACTCCTGCAGCCTCTTCTACACAGAAGATCAGAATAGATGTTTGCATATAATGAAGACCAACAACTCCTTCAGGGCCCATACTACAACCCTGCAGGAGCAGCACCTTGCCAGCTGTGGGCTGGCAATGAGCCAGAGCAGAAGGCAAGTCCTCCTTGGGAACGGGGCAGTGCAGGAAGCAGGGTGCCTGGTATCACACAAGCAAAATGCGTGTTCACAGAGCAACCGCTGTCTCACATGAAAAAGAAAACAATCTCACTCTTAAAACAAGTCTTGTATTAGGAAGAAGCAGTACTACTGTATTCGTAAGAAGACATCTTGCTTCTCCCTGATCTAGACCTCATAATGCATAACTAATCAGGTGATGAAACGTACTCAGCTACTCTCAGACCAGTCACATGCCTGAGAACAGGTCAGACACGGTTAATGATGAGCCAGAGAAACAATTAAAGACCTGACCTGAATTCCTACTGAGAAAATTTTTTTAAGAGTCAGCTCATGTTTACTTTTACCAAGCTAAACTGTGCTTCCATTTCTAGTCAGTGGAAGGTCTCCTTAAAGAGGAGAAAAAAAAAAAAAAAAAAAAGAAAAAAGGTATAGAAAAAAAATATGGTAACAGTATCTCATATAAAAGGCCTCCTTATCTCTACATGAGTTCACAGAATCACTGAGTGGCAGGGGGTGGAAGGGACCTCTGGAGATCATCTAGTCCAGCCCTTTGCCAAAGCAGGTTCACCTAGAGCAGGTTACCCAGGATTGCATCCAGGTGGGTTTTGAAAGTCCCCAGAGAAGGAGACTCCACAACCCCTCTGGGCAGCCTGTTCCAGTGCTCCATCACCCTCACAGTAAAGAAGTATTTCCTCATGTTCAGATGGAACTTCCTGTGTTCCAGTTTGTGCCTGTTGCCTCTCATCCTATCTCTGGGCACCACTGAAAAAAGCCTGGCCCCACCCTCTTGATGCCCTTCAGAGAGTGATAAACATTGACAGAACCATCCCTCATTCTTCTCCAGGCTAAAGATCCCCAGGTCTCTCAGCCTTTCCTCATAAGATAGGTGT